ATCACTTTTTTGTACCTTTGGAATGTGGAGGGTAGTGAAAGGTACATGCTTTATAACCTATGAGGAAGACATTTCTATAAAGTGGGAGCTGCCTTTGAGCACCATCAAGTTTTACTATCATCTTTAGCTTGCACAAGGAGAGCAGAACCTAAACGGTATAGCTGCTGTTCCCTCTCAGGCACACACACAATCACAGAAACACACTGTCTAATGCAGCCAAATGTGCTCATGTTATACATACTGTATGTACACACACACACACATACACACAGACCCACACACATCGGCTGCACAGTGGGGGACCTCAATCCAATTAGCTTGATTATTAATTAAAGTGTGCACTCAGAGGAGAGCTGGCGCTGGTGGAGGCAGCCCAAAGGAGGTGTCTGCTGAGAGGGTTTGAACTCACTGTAGCAGTGGGTGATTAGGCTGCATGGTCCACACATACACACACGCAAAGGTACAGGCAATGCACCGTGCTTGATGACTGAACACACTACACCGTTTCTATCATTTGTTTTCTCTAGCCTGGCTCTTTTTGGTGCCCACATCACAGTTGTTATCCTCATTCATATAAAATGCATCTGTGTTCCACTTTAAGTGTCTAGTGTGTCAGGTTCTGTGGTACGTAATATTCTGATGGAGAAAAGAAGAAAAGGGAAGACTGGGAAATATTGCAGTGGAGTAAAATTGAAGATAAAAAAGAAAAACTGCTCGCCAGAATACTTAACCTGTATAGATGCCAACAGCTGGAGCAGCTGGAACCGACTGTTTATATGACATTTATATGACATTTTCTAGGAATTATGAGGATTTTATCATAGTAAATTGACTTTTGTGAAAATTTGAATCTTCATATCTTATCAAAATTGTTATTTTCATACCATCAACAATAGCATTTTTGAGCTATTACAATAACTCAGAGTATAAATCTGAGATTCAATGTTGTGACAGCCTCTTAAATCCTCTTCCTCATATTCACATTTCAGCTGTAAGAAAACATTAGTAGAAGTCTTGCTGGGATGATACATCTACACATCCATAATTCTTCTACGATCTGTCACACGATCCTTTAGTTTTTACTCACCTTCACACGAAATATGCAGCCATAAACCTGCGTGTGTAGACTGACCCTCCATTACCTAAAGACAGATGAGTCAGTAAACGGATCCTTTCTTACGGAGCTGGGGCGTGGTGCTCCGCTGTGATTTGAAGCATTGCCGTGTCACGTAAACCCTGATAAATACTGTGTTATTAAAAGCAGATTCTGGTAACTCGTTTTTCATATTCTTGAGATTCACTCAGGATATTCATTCAGCACACACAGTTTAAAAATATGTGTCAGAGTACAGTATAAACGAGTATTTCTCTTCATGTGATTGCACCTGGTACTCCATCAAATATACGGCTGATTCTAAAGTCACAGGATCTCATTGGGGAATTGGTGGTGCACAGTTTACAGTTGTATTTTTCTCCCCAGTCTATAACCTGGTAACTTAGGTAAGTTTGCATCACAGCCGTTGATTCTCTGCAGCACTAAGCACATGTAGTTTTGGTGGTAGTTTGTGTGAGTAAATTACCCTTAAATGACAACTTAGAGATGTCTAATCACTGTGGTCATTTTTTCTTGTGTAAATATTTTCCCTCTGTGCTCAAATCGAACTATGCCCATATATCTTTCTATTAAAATAAATACTTCTTTGTGAAAGTGTAGCCTATAACTCACAGTTTTTTTTTTCACTTTGATAAAGCACACTTCTCTGATTCAATGCCATAGTCTAGTGAGGGGCGTTCTCAGATTGACTGCATCGCCTGCAATCCATCATTCCAGCGAGTTCCACATACGATAGAGATTAGAGATAAAAACACAAACAAATCTTAACAGTTTTTTTTTTTAAACCAAGCAGGTGTAATGCAATGGATAACTTGTCTTTGGCCATGAAGAAAAAAAATCTTAAGTGTCCTGTCTCGCCTGGAAATACTCCTGGCTGAGCAACACTAGATGGAGTAGAAAAAAATATTTTGCTTTTATTGCAAGAAATCGGCTAACAGGAGTTAAAGCCCCGGATTTTGTGACATGTGAAGTCTTTACCGGCACAGCTTCTCCTTTGATGACACAGAAAAAAATTGGAAGACGTTGACAAAAAGCAACAAACACCAATAATATTTCTCCGTAATTTTTTTTGTTTGTCTGAAATATTCTAGATTATGTGAGCCAGCAACAAACTGGTTTAAGGAAATTTAAAAGAGACAGGCATGACTCTGTTTCAGTTAAATGTGTTTATAATCAAACTGGTTTGAAAGTGCAAATAGTGTCTAATACCAGTTCTCCAAATACTCATCTTTTGTTCTGGTGTGCCAGTGACACATATCTATAATGTCATAGAATCTACAGCTGGGATTCATTTCATGTTAACCATATACTGTTTTAAAAGGTCCTTGTTCAGTGTTAGATATTATTGCATGTGATTAGCACGGGGCAATGAAACACAGCCTTGGAGGCAAGGCTCATCTCATCATTTCATCCACAGCGTTGAATTAATGTGTTCTGCTGACCCCCCGACCCGCTGATTTACATTGCATCTCAAAGACACCGCTTGTAATAAAACTTCAGCCAACGTAGCTGCTCTCTTCTGGCTAACTGGCTAATGCGACACACAGTGTGCAGAGCTCCAACAGGGACATTTAATGAAAATGAGGAAGCAGAGAGAAAAATGGGATAAAACCTTTCAGAAATTAATCTAGGACCTCTATTAAAGAAACAAAGGTGGACGAAGAAAGATTATAATTGAAATCCCAGACAGAGGGCGTCTCTTTTCTTTACCCTTTTCATGGTAGAACTTTGTTCACTAACTTTTTTGATGTTTTGCTCACCAATGAATTAAGAGCTCAGCATTACATAGGTACATTTCTCCCTCTGAGTACTGAGTGCTGAGCAAAACTGAGAGATTTGAGAAGACACGTGTGGAGGTGACAGAGACACATCTGAAAGCATCTGATAAGCACCTTAAATGGGAGCCAAGCTAAATAGATTCAAATGCAACAAACAGCTGCAGGGATAATCAACCCAAAATTAAAACAGATTTTAGAATGCTTGAAATTGAATCTAGAGCCTCTTGTAAACCTGCCTGTTTGGAATGGGCTGTGTGCTTGGTCAGTGGTGATGCTGGTTACAGTTTTCTTTCTGAAACTGGAATTGTGTCCTGCAGTAATTGCGCTGAGGCAAGTAAGGACCTGCTGCCGGACTCAGTCTGCAGAACCCTGAAGCTGCTCCACCACAGCTGCTCAAAGAGCTGTTCATCAGTTTAACTAAAATTCAGAGAAGCTTGACCTGGTAAGCAGAACCAAGGATAATCAGTTGTCGTTGCTGTTGTTGTGGATCTGGCCGTTGTTGTGAAAGCACCATTTATAATGTTGCTTATGTCGATGAGTCCCAGCCAGATTGTATCGCTTGTCTAAACCGCACCGAATTCAAGACTGCACTTCCTTTGGAAGATATGTGTAGATATCTGTTCCACAGACTGACAGAGATTTCTGGAGTACATTTAATAGATTAGGAAATTGTGACAAATAATTGCATCATATTTGTGAAATGAGATGCTGCAAAGATTACATGATGTTTGTAAAAATCGAATCAATCACAACCATACGTGCATTTAATGTTGAGTTAACACCATGATGACTTGTGTGTCTAGTGTGGCTTTGAACTCACCCAACAAATCCATAGTTTTTACTATATCCCGACAAGTTATTGTAAAAGCAATCAAAAACGGTGTCTCAAACAACTTCACATTAAAGCTTCATTTGTTGCTGAAATTAAGAATTAGTTCTGAACCTGCATGGATATTACCTTGTAACAGTCGAGCACATTAAACACTTCTGATTTCAGACACTTGTCTCGGTTTAGTCCAGTTTTAGCGGAAATTTGGGTTAACCATGTCTTGGTGCATTTTGAAGGCAGATTATTTTACATTATCTGGTAGTCATCATGAATTCAGCAGTTCTGCTTCTCTGGTTTTTAATTGACTCTCCTCTACCAGCTCAGACACTTAAAATAACAGACAATTTTATTTCAATATAGGACAGTTTGGGATTAGCTGATTTTTAAGTATATTTCTAAAATAGCTATAGTGCAGAATGTGGTTGATTTCTCTGCTTTAGAGCAGAGATTAAACTTTTGACCTCAAAAATGTCTGAGGACTCCTGATCTCTCTCCCTCTAAAACAGTTCAATAATGTCACTGACTTCCTGCCTGCAGAGATGCTGGATGATGTTTCTTCAGTTTGCAACAAGTTGTTGACAGGAACAACATCTGAGCCACTGGTAGAACAAATGCAAAATGTGACTGAGAGAATCAGAAGTCCAGCAAAACACTTGAGGTACCTGTTCTTTAAGGTGGCATCGTCAAGATGTGATACAGCTCATGCATTGTTCCCTTTAGTGCAGGGGTCTCAAACTCAATTTACCTGGGGGCCACTGGAGGTAGAGTCTGGGTGAGGCTGGGCCGCATCAAGTACTCCACAAAAAAAGGGTTTCAGGTATTCCAAAACATACAACTTATCCAATCTTCTCAATCTTTATGATGAACAGTTCTTCAACATGAACGGTTCTTCAGAACGGAATCACGTTTCAATCAAGTGACTAACGCTGCTAATTCGCTTTGGCTATTTTACAACAAACGCCACCGGAAGCTGTCAGGGCAAGCACGGCCCGCGCAACGACTGGACAAAAAGGTGCGTTTGAGAAAAACGTGCGGGCCGCACTAACACTAAATTTTGATGTCAAGTAGGGGGCCACAAATTATCGTCCAGTGGGCCACAATTGGCCTGTGGGCCACGAGTTTGAGACCCCTGCTTTACTTTTTTTTTTTTCCTCCAACAATCTCACTTTATGTATCTAGGTAAGACATTTGCCTGTAATTCACTAGAACTGTGCTACCTCACACATGTCCTTAAAGATAATCAACTAACCAGAGGTTTCTTATCTTTCATTTTCAATAGATTGCTGAATTGATAACTCAGTGGAAGTGAAACAGTGAAAGCTACGTGGAAAAAGGTTTGGACATGTTTTCTACTGATTGCAAAAAGAAATCAATATGTAGAGAATCCCTGGATTCCATAAGATGCTGCAGTTTAACATCTTTCATATAATGTACTTCAATAGAACAATATTGCTTCTAAATTGTGTCCTGGATGTAAAACAGAAAACAGGGACTCGTGTTCTGGGATTACATAAAACTCGACCACTGCTGGGGCTCCATCAGAGACACAATCAAGTAGATCATGGAGGCTGATATACCTTGCTTAACCAGACTCATTTTGCTTGGGGACCAATCAGTATTGCCAGGGGACAAGAAGCTCAAGCCACAATTCATTAAAACGGCACTAACTGCTGGCAATAAATGTACAGCTGTGACGTGGAAGAATGAGGACCCTGCCTTCTCCTCCATGTGGTTTCGATGAAATGGCCTCATACGGGCCTGTGAAAAAATAATGTTTGATCTTAAAGGAAACCCATCTATTTATGAGGAATGCTCGAGTGACTTCAGGAAATATCTTGAAAACGTGACATAGTGTAATGATCCCAGTGGGTGCAATAACCAATAATACACCTGCACCAGAGGTCAGATGGGAAACCGAGACGACTCAGTGAGCAAGAAGAGGGGGAGACATTGTGAGACTCTTTTTCAACCTAATTTTTTTGTCATACTTTCTTTGCTCCTTTTTGTATTTTACGTGTGATTACTATCGTTACCATTATAACTTACTACTTTTTGCATGGTGGTATGGTGATTGGCACTGTTGCCTCACAGGAAGAAGGTTCAGTGTTTGAATCCCGGTTCAGTCTGGGTCTTTCTGTCTTTCTGTTCTCCTCGTGCTTGGGTGGCTTTTCTCAGGGGACTTTGGCTTCCTCAGTCCAAAGACATGGTGATTGGTTGATTGGTTGATTGGAGAATAGGTCAGAAGGTGTGAAAGGTAGTGTGTCTCTGTATGTTGGCGACCTGTCCAGGGATTGTACCTCTACCTTGCAATATTAAACCTTGTGGTGAAGGTGTGACTATACAAGCGTGCTCTTCCTCCTTGAGTTCGTGTTCACTGTGACACTGCTCAACTCGTCCTGAGTTTGGAACTGTCACTCTCACTGGCTGAAATCCCATGGGTTATATCCATAGCCAATATTTGCCTCAACCAATCATTTGCCTCGTCTGATAAACTCAATACCACTAAGACTCGAGTCTTTTCTATGCCAAGCAAACATCAATTTACTGCATCTGATTTAAGAAGGGGATGTTTGTCAGCTGCTGAACGTCTAAAGCAGATTTCTGTTACTTAATCAGAAATCTACTGGTCATTTGTTGCGAACAGCTTCATTTTTCACTGATGTTCAATTCTAGTGTCTCTGTAGGAAAATATCATGGTTAAATTTTGTTAAGTGCAAATTAAAAATTCATATTTTTTTCTCATTGTCAGGCCTGAGTAGGGATTGAATGTTGCCTGGTGTGCATTCAGCCCCCCAAAAGCTTTAACAATAAGAAAGTTAGTGCAGTCTGTATTAACCCCGAGGGAACAAACCCAGCTCTTATTGTAAAATGTATTCTCAATTAACTTACCGAGTGAATAAAGTTTAATAACAATGACCAAGGGTATTTTATTGAGCTGATTTTCTCTTTGAGGGCGTCCTGCTTTTATTAGACAAAGGTGTGAGAAGAGTGAGAGTGTTGCTGAGTGGGGGAGTAAATAAGGCTGGATAACAGCTTCTGTCTGTGTGTCTCTCTCACTTTGTAAACAATGTGACTGAGGCTTGGGCGGGACCCTGGCTCCCAAGGTTGAGGGGGTGTCTGTTGATTGGTATAGACGTTTCCTATACAAGGAACACCACCTGCTCCATTTACACACATATGCACGCATACACACCCAAACACAAGCACATAGACACACACATTTTTCTACACGCATGCACACACACACACACACACACATAATCCTCTGGGGACAGGTGGCATTGACCATACGTGGGCGATGCAGCAGCCACAGAAGTGATTCTTTACTGCCATCCTCCTATCTGATTCTACAGAATAACCTTTGTAGAGCAAGGACACAGAGAGACAGAGACATCGTCTGACAACATCAACTTCTCCTCGGCCGAGGGGAATAGGGGAGCTTTTTGTGCACCTGATCTCTGTGCTGTTTCCTAAGAGGGACTATTTTTCCTTGGTTTGAAATCCCAAGTTTATCAATTTCTGTTCACTTCATTTATATTTAACCTATGTGTAAAATTAAATTATAAATGTTTTGTCTAAAACAAGACTGTCCTCAGACTGACCAAAGTCCATTTTCAACATCTCACACATTTAAATGGCTCAGGCTTAAAATTGAGTTTGTTGAAAGTGTGTGAAGGGAATCAACTGTGGAGGAATAAAAATGGGTATAAAGGAATGCCATTCTGAAGGAAAATATCACCTGTGATATGGCATTTGAATAAGAATTTAACGCATTATAGAACTTGAGAATTATCTCAAACTTTGAATAAGGGAAACATGACATGACCTAAACCTCTCTGCACATTGCATACATTCACATGATCAATACTTACATTGTACTTCAGTGAAGCCTGAAATTATTGCACATGCTGTAAAAGGCCAAGATGTAACGGAAGGATTTTTGAAAAAACAAACATTTGAAACAGAACAAATGTCAGTGAAATTTACATAATTCAAAATGAGCCAGACAGTCTTCCCTGCTATTTTCTCTTATGACGTCTGAATTTTTATTTCTGCATAATACATATGAATGAAAGTATGAATCGCTATATATTGACAAATTCAATCTTCAATCTGCATAGTGACAGAATTAAAATACAAAACAAGTCTTTATGATGATTGCAAAAGTAGTAAGTGCATGCTGCAGTGTGACAATAAGACATAATAGAACTGCCAGTAGCATTTATTTCATGCTGTGTTTAATTCTGCCGGAATAATGATAAAATGAAACAATCAAAATGTGTGTGAAGACAATAAAGAGAGCCACGGAATGGGCTGTTGGTCTCCTACAGGGAATGATTGAGCCCTAACTGGGGGTTGGCTGAATAAATCACCCTCCTATCTACTGTAGCGTATGACCTCCAGTGCACCTACCAGCTTTTCCTCCGAACAACCCCCCAGTTTGCTTCAGCACATGTGTGTACCACATATAGGGCTTGATATTTGTTCATTTACAATAAGGTCTGAAAATGACATTTTGAGAAAATCTGTGCTGAAAACTTATCGTGAAACATTTTTTGGTTTCTTTTTTTCTTCACTTCCCAGCAATAATCAGTAGCTTATTTGCATTTTCTCCACGTTCTTTCCATTTTGTCCTTGTCAGCACCTTCTTGCTGCAGAAAACAACTTTCAGCCCAGAGAAAAATCCTTTTAAATAGAAAATCTGTGTATTTTTTTGTTTGTAAAAACAAATAAATGAAAAAAGCAGTTGAATAGCCAAGCATGTTTTAAACATAAGTGTTACTGTTCATGCACATGACTGCTAATGACTGTTGTGAACAGATATTTTAATTACGACTATAATCTGTGTAACACCTGTGCTTTTAAGGTGCTGCTTTCTTTCTGTGCACAAGTGCGTGTACATGTGTGTGTGTGCATGTTCACGTGGATGTTTGTTAATTGAAAAGTTGTCTATACATATTTGCATGTTAATGTGTGCCTTGACATCTCATTCAGTTTTTATGCAGACATCAACCAGTGTATGTGTGTGCATACAGTAGGTGTTCATTTACTCGTGCCTGTGTGTGTGCGTGTTTGTGCATATGCATCTGTCTGTGTATTTGCATGTGCGTGTGTCACCTCCTCCATTTTTATGGAAATCAAATCCGGCAGCAGTCATAAGTTTACACATTCCCCCTGTTTTGACTCCATTCAATCAACTGTGTGCATAATTACCCTAGTGCCGTATGGTAATCTATTGGGACCAAAATATTGCAGTTTGACAAATCCTTCATTTGCATTCAGTCGCTACACAAACCATCAATCGTGTCGCCCACCAACCCCCTCACACACTCTCTCTCTTTCTCACCCACACACAAACACACACACACACACACAGAGTCATTGATATAAAACACTCCTGAGCCCCTTACCCCGAACTAAGACAACTAAATGCCTTACACTAATCAAAACCTAATTCTAACCCTAACCCTAAAACATGTGTATGTGTTTAGCTTGAAGTCTCCACCAGGACATAACAAAGCATACACACATACACACACACCACGCCCCTCCTTACTCCCCGGGGCAGTGTCAAACTGAAAGCGATCTGATTAGAACAGCAAGACATGCTGGGATCTGGGTTTGCCATTAATATTTCCCTCATCCAGATGGTACCTCCTACAATGCAGAAAGATGCCACCACTGGGCCTGCAGACAGGGAGGGGCCTTGTTTTGGAGGCAGGGACAAAAGTGAGTGAAAAAGGGAAAACAGAAAGCTGAATTTAACATTATTTCCCAGTGAAGATGGAAAGCCAGATGACAGCTGTAGGATTCTGCCTCTAACTTCTCACTCTTGTGATATTAAAGCAGGTTCCTCACCACTTTACTCATTGTTCAATTTAAAAGACATCCATCATGTGACGATCAAGTTAGCGGTATTTATCTGTTAAGATTACACTCAACAATAAAACTGAGGAGATCAATCGAACAATCTCCCACATAATTTGATTCTTTCGTAATCCTACAAAATTATGCGCACATCCAATCAGCGCACACATGTGCCACTACACAAATCCCCATAATCCCACACTGCCGGAGGCTGACTGTTTGAACAAGTGACATTTTGAGGCTTATTACATGCTCGTAACACAACACAGCACAACAAACAAGAAGACCAATTTCAGTTTTCTTTTTCCCTCTTCTGCCCCCTTACTGTCATTTCCTTTCTTCTTTCATTCTGTTTAGGATTGAGGACGAGGGCAGGGGAGGAGGGCTGCGGTAAACAAGGGTGGAGGGGGAAGATTAGCACCAGCTAATAATCCCCTCTTTCAACACGTGCTGGTTCATATTTCCAAATTAAAGTGGAGTGCAAGAA